AATTCTGGACTCAACTCAAGTCTCACAAACAGAACCAGCAATTGTCACGCATTGTAGTGGTGAATAATCTTCTTCTTTAGCCTTCTGTGTCATTGTCTACAATAATATTATCTCCCACTATCTTGCCTCATGGTCTACTCCCAATCAGCTATTTTGTTTATGTAGTTCTTTTATGGTATTATTTTAGGACATGTACACAAATTTAAGTATCTGGGCACATGGATAACATTAGATGGAAGATGCATAACTGAGATAAGAAAAAGGATAGGAAAGGCAAAAACTGCATGAAAAACATCTTGTGCAATATATCCTTGTCATTGAGAGTTGGAAAAAAAAAAATTCTTGCTTGCTACATACATCCAGTTTTAACATATGGCTGTGAATACTGGACAATCGGTAGGCAGGCTAAACAATTTCTAAAGGCCTCAGAGATGTGGTGTTACAGAAGAATGCTTAGAATACCTTGGACAGCCAAAAAGAGCAACCAAGAGGTTTTGAAAGAGGTGGGAGCCCGAAGGCAACTTATCACAGACATCGGAAGGAGACCGTCATCGTTTTTCGGCCATGTTATCAGAAGAGGGAAAATAGAACATGTTGTGACCACTGGAAAGATCTGTGGAAGGAGGGATAGAGGAAGACAATGAGAGAAGATGCTTGACAGTCTTGTTGCATGGCATGGAGGTGTGTCGGCACACAAACTGATACAAGCTGCAGGAGATCACAGATTATGGAGAGTCATGATCGCCCATGCCAGTCAGCAAGGCACCTGATGATGATGATGAGTTCTTTTATCTCAGTAAACTACCATTCTGTCTATATATTTCCCAAATATAGCAGTTTATTAGCTCTCATGATGCAGTAATTAATAGTGATTTAAACAGTTTATATTTGTTGTTGCTTTTCATTCTCGGTTTTATTCATGTAGTCGTGGATATTTCAGTTTAATCAAGTATTTCATTGCAGTAGTTTGAAATTTCTTCATTTCATGAATTCTAATGACGTATGCTATGTCACTGATTATATTATTGGGAATTTTGACTTTTTTTTTAATCACAGGGAGGACAATTTGTAAAGTTTAAAAGATTTTCTCTTATGGGTGATATGGAGCTCCCACCTCAAGGGTTAGTTAACACAGATATCTCATGGGTAGCATTATAATCACTTGTCCTGAGTAATTCTTTATGATTCAGTTTATCATATTGTTTGTTTTAGTATCCAAAAACCATGAGTTGTTAACCCTTAGGCTCGGTATTATGGATATCGCAACCTTTCGGCATTGATTCCATTGTAAATACCGTAAATCTGGGAGAAAATGTGGCTTTCCTGCCTACCCCTGAGATTGAACCCGGACCGCAAGGAGTTCTCACCCGGTCTCCGCGCAATCCGGTTTAGCCAACTACGCTAGAGAGCCGGGCCAGTTTATCATATAAATATAATGTTGAAAATGTTTAATCAAGTGCCTCGCACTCGTTCATGCTACACTCCATGTAGTGATCCCTAGCAGTGTGTATCAGTTTATGACTAAGAAGACTGTCAACATTCCTTTCTAATCTTCATCTCTTTCCATAAATATTTATAGCCACCAAATTTATTGTCCTTTTTTTCACCATGCAGTCGCCAACAGATTATAACTGTGTCTTTCTGATTTTTGTGACATGTCTCAGCTTCTTGGAAAATGCCTGGATTACTCATTTTTACCTATTCAACGACTTTATTTGTTTTAATTAGTGAGTGGTTCATCTTCATCATACTTTTGTGCTGTTATCACATAGTGTTTGCAGTCTATTCCTCCATTCTGTTATATCCTGGGCAATTGTTTCAATATCATGTTTGCAATCCAGTCCAGCTTTTATCTCTCATCACCGTTCATTTCAAGACTTTATTTTGACATCTTCACCTCCTAAATCCATTCCTTTCCCATTTAAGTGCCCGTCTGGTAATTCTTTGGTTCACTAAGGGTGTGGCCAATAATTGCCACCTTCTTTGTCTTACTGTTGTTACCAGTGGTTGTCCAGACTATTTTTTTCACCTTTATTTCACCCCACTCATCAATTTCCTCAGGCATTTGGCTTTCAAATGTATTCAACTTTGGCTCCATGTCTTTATAGAAGTTCTCAAATTTTCACTGGCATATGTTAAAATTGAAATAACATTGGTGAGTGGTTGGATAACTTGCTCTGTGAGACTTATCTGGCCTAGTGAAGTAAGAATACAGAAAATGTAAGTCATATAAGGAAAACATCGGTGACCTAATGCCCACTGGCTGGCCGGTAGAGGACTTTATTGCTGGTCATGAAGTATTTGTGTTTGTCTCCTTTGATTGCATCAACACTGCAAGAATCTTTTTCAGGGCTACTTGGTGGCGAGCAATACTAAGCCATTTTGTATGGCTCAAATAACACAGTCACAATTATAACCTAAATCTCCCCCTCTGGGAATGCTGGTCGAAGATGACAATTTTTTTGTTCCCAAAAGCTGATCATCCAATACCATATAAACTAACAAGTACACATATACTGCCTAAAAGATGAGATAAACTTTTTAGACTTTTTTTTTTGCCCGGCTCTCTAGTGTAATTGGCTAAACCGGATTGCGCGGAGACCAGATGACGAACTCCTTGTGGTCCGGGTTCAATTCCGGGGGTAGGCCGGAAAGCCACATTTTCTCCCAGATTTACAGTATTTACAATGGAATCAAGGCCGAAAGGTTGCGATATCCGTAAAACCGAGCCTAAGGGTTAACAACTCATGGCTTCTGAATACTAAAAACAAAACTAAATAATTGACTTCTTTTTTTTAAATTTATGTTCGATGTTCATAAATGTAGTTTGTAAAACTTGTTTGTTGTTGAGATAGTGTTTCAGTACATTCTAGAACAATTTTGAGATTAAGTATTACAACCACATTCTCTTTAGCTCCCTCTTGCAATCAGTCTTTTTCTCCATATAATAACACATGGAACTTGTCTACTTTAAACAAACAAAAAATGTATTATATAAATCAATGAAACTCCAATAAAAAGCAGTCAAAACTGCTGCATAGTCTCTATACCTGCATGACCACCTTCTTTACATTTTGCTTATATGTAACAGCATAAATACCTGGCATAAATTAGTATACAAAAAATAATCAAGCAAAAAGATGGAAGACGTACAATTGCCGTTAACAAATGATATTGCCTTTATGAATGAGTGTGGGTAAGGGAACTATTTTTAATACATGAGGTCATAAGCATCAGATTTGCATTTTATTTTATTTTTTAAATTTTTTTAATGCCACTATTATAGGGTAATATTGGTAATCTTAGTTTCAGCTTCAGAGCAAACGAGTCACCCCATAGTTGCTCCACTCTGATGCCAAAGAAAAACACACAGAATGTTCTGTCACAGTCCCTTTTGGAAAGCTTAACAGACTGCTGTCTCGGCATAGGCACTAGCACACACACACACATTAGAAGCATACGGTAGCTATCCAAAGTGCTAAAACAAACAGTTTGACATTAGAACTGCAGTTCATCATCAACGGTAGCAGAAGTTACCAACAGATCAGCAGTTGCACATGCGATCAATTTTAATCACATAAGGCCACCGCCAATATTGCAACGACATGCCACGCACCATTTTCTGAATCTACAATTCATAACACCACGTTGGTCACAGTAAAAAAAAAAAAGTCCCAAAAAAATTCACAGCTCACAGGATCACACCAGGCACTCAACTCAGTAGCTGAGTGACGAAACTGTATCCTTTCAATCTACAAATGGAGCAAAAATGCAACGGCCACTGTCTGGCAGAAACAAAACATTTGCCACGACTCAAGATAGTGACTGCTCCTAGTGTCCATTTTGACCGGAAGTCTTTTAGGGTAACCTAAAAAAGTCAACTTCTTCCATGGACATCACACGTATGTGAATGACTAGAGCATGACCAGCATCATGTTCAAATTATGTTGTTTTCTGGCTGCACTACAAAATAGATCAAGCTTAAAATCAATCTCTTCCTAAAAGGTTTCATAAAGGGGTTCCCTCCTAAGCAAAAGTGAATACTAGGAAATATTCTGAGAAGTAAGCAGCATGGCTGACCAATTTATCCAAAGAGTGCCAATGGGCATGCAAATGGTATGTCATCTGAATTTTGGTAAAACTAATTAAAAATATATTTTTTTTAAAGCAATCACTTGACCTTACTAGCCATGTATATTTTTTCTTTCTATAAATGGTACATCTCTGATGCTTATCAGTTTTATGCTGTACTTATACATACATTAATCACTTAGTCCTTGATGGTGTGTCTTTTCATTATTAAATTATTTTATATGATGAGAATTACAATATGCCATATAACAGGTTGTTTAAAATATATAAAATGCAGTGTCCCATAACAGCTCTAATGTAAGGGATTTTTGTTTTCTAACCAAGTACAAAATTTGAAATATAAAGAAAGATTTTTAAAGTGTAATTTTTTTTTTTCCCTGTAAATTAGTCTCTGATTAGACTATAAATAAGCCTAATTATGTTTCCTAGTACTGAAGAATGTATATGGCAATTGTTTTTTAAAATAAATGTATGTGACCGTTGTTTTTAAAATAACTTGATGGCAAATTTTTTAAAAACAAAACAAAATATCACAAAATATACTGTTCCAAAAACAAAATTCATAGTTATCCAATGGCACTTCACTACACCTAGTTTAGTTATAATTTTACCATTAAAATTTCCCGCAAGACTACCATGAGGTTTCACCAATAAATTGTCAACAGTTATTTTCCGTCATGATCACTGATGGTTTTTAGGCATACAGCTTTTTCTGTCAACTAATAAAAACATACCATCAGATAACTAAGCACTTTTTGTGTGTGTTGTGTTAAACAGTATAGTTATGGATGAAAAGGTTCATATAAATGATGTACATGTAACTTCTAGTCATTTATGGCACACAACAATTCTTATTGGTCCGGCTTGAATTGGTCTGTAGCCCAAAGGAAAAACAGATATGATTGCTATTATTTGTAGATAGCATATGGCACAAAATAAGCTCGGAGTTTATTGAACAATGACTGTGGCAAGAAGGGCATCAGGCATGTAAGGATCTGAAAAGAAACAATACTTTTTTTATTTTACTTCTAAACTCTTTTAGTATCAAACACTTCACCTTTCATTGGATGCTCTACATATGGTGCACATTTCTTAACCTCTTCTTTTCATTTTATATGTTTCATTTTCTGTATCCTGTCACTATAGCAGACAGTCCCACCATTGTCTGCTCAATGTTTGTCACTCAAGACAATGACTGTTTGCGTATATGTATGTATAGAGATGGTTAACTGTGTATATTATTTGTTATCATTATCAAATCACTGGGGACCCTCTTCCAGTCCGTATGCTCATGAATGTATTCAAGAAAATAATGTGGTACCCCTGGCTTCCACTTTTGCATAAGAAAGCGCTTGAGACCTTCTACTGTCATCTTAAGTAAATACTGTTTATTTCAGTAGAAACATAGTTCCCTGAACTGTGTATGCTCCGCTCTTGTGTGTTGCTCATTCTTTTACCATTGTCTCCCACTCTTGTGTTTTGTGCATGCTTATTCTCCCACCTTTGTCTCCCACTCTTGTGTTTGTGCATATTCATTCTCCCACCCTTGTCTCCCACTCTTGTGTTTTGTGCATATTCATTCTCCCACCCCTGTCTCCCACTCTTGTGTTTGTGCATATTCATTCTCCCACCCTTGTCTCCCACTCTTGTGTTTTGTGCATATTCATTCTCCCACTCTCGTGTTTCGTGCATGCTCATTCTCCTACCATCGTGTGTTGCTTATTCTGTCTCCAGGAGATGCATTTGGGAGTTTCCCCTTCTCTGAAGCTGAAACCATAATGTTTTTTTCCCAGTCTGTACTTTCTGCTAGTTATCATCAGGTACCATGCTAGTAACCATCTCCAATCATGGTTTTCCATTCCACACAATCACATCCAGGTTTAGCTTGCATTCTGCTTGTTCAGGTCAAATATGCATACAACAGCAATTTTGTATAGCATTTTACCCTGGTATTCTCGCTGTGGCTGAAAACATTTTTGTGCATGCTATATGCTATTAATTTCTTGGCTACCGATTGAACCCATCTCCCAATGGTCCATAAAAACATGGTCTAGAACTAGGTTCTTGTTTATCCCCTCACATATTACTCTTCTTTCTTAGGGAAACTGTCATGGTATTTTGGTTCTCTTATGTTTTTTTTTTTGTTTTTTTTAGTATGGATGTACACCTAAGGCAGCATCAGACATATTCCAATCCCTGTTAGTCACCCCATGCACTAACTGAGTCTCTGGAGATAAAGATATACAAAAAAATAAAAAAGGTCATATTTCACAGAAACAAAAACAGTGGAGAGGTTATGAAGAGACTATAAATAAAATGAGAGTTACTGAAATAAATTTAAAAAAAAAAAGGAGAGAATTACATTTTCAACCACATTAAAAGCTATACACTCTTTTAAAAACCACACTAAAGGAAGAGTAAGAGGTAGACAATTCAAGTTGGAGAACAACATCAAGAGATGGAGAAACAGCAGTTTGAGAGCATGGACTACCAAGACAAGATACAGAATGTGTGTTAGGGATCCTTTGCAGCTGACCTTCACCTGATTGATTCATTGACATTAAACTTGGTAATTTACAGTTGCCATAGTTTGCTTCCTGTATTGATTCCTGCTTTACAGTTTTACTATACTTTATCTTTGGGTAATGGTACAGTGTTATCATACTTTATCTTTGAGTCCTGGTACAGTGTCATCATACTTTATTTATTTTTGAGTCCTGGTACAGTGTCATTCTACTTTATTTATCTTGGAGTCCTGGTACAGTGTTATCATACTTATTCTTTGAGTCCTGGTACAGTGTTATCATACTCTATCTTTGAGTCCTGGTACAGTGTTATCGTACTTTATCTTTGAGTCCTGGTACAGTGTTATTTTACTTTATTTTTGAGTCCTGGTACAGTGTCATCATACTTTATTTATTTTTGAGTTCTGGTACAGTGTCATTCTACTTTATTTATCTTTGAGTCCTGGTACAGTGTTATCATACTTTATCTTTGAGTCCTGGTACAGTGTTATCATACTTTATCTTTGAGTCCTGGTACAGTGTTATTTTACTTTATTTTTGAGTCCTGGTACAGTGTCATCATACTTTATTTTTTTTTTGAGTCCTGGTACAGTGTTATCATACTTTATCTTTGAGTCCTGGTACAGTGTTATCATACTTTATCTTTGAGTCCTGGTACAGTGTTATCATACTTTATCTTTGAGTCCTGGTACAGTGTTATCATACTTTATCTTTGAGTCCTGGTACAGTGTTATCATACTCTATCTTTGAGTCCTGGTACAGTGTTATCATACTTTATCTTAGCGTCCTGATATAGTAATAGCATTACTAATACTATACTATTTTGCTGGGGTTTTTTGGGGGGAGAGGGTGGGGGTCCTGTAGTGTTACAATATTCTGCTTTATCTTTAAGTCCATGCTTTGTTTTCTGGACAACATGCATAACAATCACAAAATTGTTTTCAAGCAAACTTACGTGAGACCAGTCAAAGTAAGAGTTGGACCCTGGTATCAGGTAGCGAAATTTAGGACATTGATTGCGTAATGCATCTTCAAAAGCATCTATGACTGGATCAATAGTTGGAGCAGCTGTGGCAGCTGCCTGTTTAAGATCTTCCATCTGTTGCTGGCAAAACAGTTCAGAAATGGCTGATGTCCAAATAAAACACTTTCTTTTTTCTATTTACAAAGTAAGTAAGTAAGTAAGTAAAGTATTGATATGCCAGTAACATATTGTATATCTGATTCTAGAGTCATATATTATAGACCAATAACAAATGTTGTCTCTGGATTAACTGTTTCAGTCCCATGTAGGTATCCATTTTTTGGGCTTCCTGAAGTATTTGTTATTGCTCTTTCTGATGCACTAAACAAGATTGTCTTCTTTTCTCAAAGGTTAATCTAGATGACTTTGTTTCTTCTATCTTTTGCATGGTTTTTCCATTTCACAATATTATATTTCTTCAACATGTCTCTCTGGTGGTTAGTAACCATAGTTAGTAACCATAGCATTCTGACCATATGGTCAAACCATCTCATCTGTGGCTCTTTAATTAAGTTATTATAAGACTGGTTTCAGTCATAGTATACTTTTTCAAATTGTTCATTTTCAAATACTTTTTTGTTGTTACTTTGTCAGCTCTTCTAAGACATCCCATATCTAATATCATTTCTACTCATTACTTATAGGAAGGGTCCATGTTTCAATCTGGTAATATTTCCGCCAAAAATTAGTTTTTATGACATATGTATGTAAGTTGTACCCCACCAGAACATCACACAAGCGATAAACACCCTTGACACAAAGTGTCACCATGCGGATGAGGATCACCCATGGAGAGGTACCAGAAACCCCTTTCAGCTGTTATGGCCATATTTATGGCCCGGCTATATTCAGAGTCCCCCAGCACAAGCCGAGGTGGGGCTTCAAAATAACAAAAATTTGCATCCAACAAGGGGACGACAACTTTTATGACATATGCTTTGGCAGACATAGATATGTATCAGAAATAGTGTTATTTGTCCTATACCTGATTTATCTTTGCCCTAAATCTTACTGCAGTAATTTTTACTTTTATTAGTTTTTTTTTTTTTTTTTGTCTGCACAATGGATTATGTTAATAACTAGAGCTGACTACAGATCTACATCACTGAAAATTATCTTCAGATGTTTCGAGCAATTTCACATAAATTTTGAATATATTTCCACTTAACATCAAATAACAGTTCAAGTAATGGCTCCTTTTACACCAGTAGGTTTTTCAACCTGGAGAGCATGTGAAAGCTTCAAGGGGCATCAAAGAATTGAGTACATTTGTACTTATACTAATCTGTTAAACTAATATAACTAAAATATGGTTAACGCTAATAATAAAACAAAAAAAAAAAAAAAAAAACAAGGAAATTTTAATTTTCATGAGTAGTTTACACATCTACATAATCTTTTTAATCACACGTTTTTCAAGTTTGGGGGGGGGGGGGGGGGGGCAGGGGCATGGAAGACCTGCCATATACTCAAAGGGTGCACCACCTGGAAAAGGTTGAAAACCACTGTTTTACACCACTAGACCACTGAGCATCTGATGCAAGATTTACATTTGTATACACCAATCATCATTCTAGGGGTGATGTGATCAACATCATGCCAGCAACCTTTACTTCCCTGAACATTTCTTGACACTAGTTTTAGGCTGGATCTCTATGTGGCAGAACAGAACAAACACAAATTAATGCTGGAACATAAGAAACACATGATCAACTTACTGCTAAGTGAGCTGGTCCGTAAAATTCTTTGACATCATCACTGGCTTCCCTCCACATCTCATCAAAATTGGCCTTGATTCGTTTCAGCTATAGTAGAGTTTAATAAAAATCAAAAACTGCTTATACAAAATAAAATCATATGTACGGAATTTTTTTTTTTTTTATTTATTTGTAAAGACAGAGACTTAAAGTATCTGCTAAAAGATACTGTGGACAGTAGTATACAGTCTAATGCTGACTAGTCTCAGATATACACAGCTAGAAGGGAGGGAATTTATATATATATATATATATATATATATATATATATATATATATATATATATATATATATATATATATATATATATATATATATATATATATATTTATATATAAATATATATAAAAATTCCCTCCATTCTAGCTGTGTATATCTATATGTGTGTGTATCTGCATATCTATCTCCCTGTCTGTCTGGCTGGCTGGCTGTCTGGCTGTCTGCCTGTAGGTGTCCATCTGTTTATATGTGTACATCTGTCTGAAGTCATTTAAAAATTGTTTCATCAATTTTTTTCCTATTTCTGGTAAATAGATGCATTGGATTTGAATGTTTTTTGTTTGTAAAATTTTCTCGTCTCTTTTAGGATGAAATTTTTCATTCTTTGAAGCCCTACTCTGGCTCTTGCCAGGGGCTGCAATATAGCCTGGCCATAAATATGGCCTAAAGGCTGAACGCGGTTTCTGGGACCTCTCCACGGTGATCCTCACCCACATGGTGGCACTTTGTGTCATGAGGTGTTAATCGCTTGTGTGATGTCCTAGTGGGGTAGAAATTCAGTCAGTCAGTGTTTTTTTTTTTTTAAATTTGTGACTTTACAGCAGGGTTATTTATCTGGTGGCTTGCAGAGGCCTAGCAAGTTGTCCAAGATTCATTGACAATTGTATTCTTTTATCAATCTTTCTGTGCTGAGGCTGGGGCCTCTAATGTTCCATATTTTGGTCCCTGAGGAAACTTTTTTGAACAACCCTGCCCTTTAGTCTGCCAAATTTTAGTTCCAAATCTTTCTTGGCCTGATATGTAATGTCTTTTTCTGCCTCTTACCCCTCAACAGGTCACTACTAAACTATCTGAGCATCCCCAAACCCTCAACTTCAAGATTCCTCACCCCCCCCCCAACCATTCTACAGAGCCATAACAAAGTGCTAAATACCACCAGTAAGATTAATCATTTCCAGACCATAGCATAACAATAAGCACAACATGGTACATGGTCCCAACAAATCAGAGCAAATTTGGTGCCTAATTCACTAGCCAGAAACAATAGGCATTGACAACAATGGGTTCCTCTACAGTACAGGGCTGGTACATTAAGTCAGTTTTTTTTTTTTGCAGTGATCCCATGACTCCACACATAGATTATATCTACTTTTACCACCAACCACATAATATATGTGATGTTACCATATTAGGTACTTAGTAATAAACTACTTACACCAGCCTCATTTAAACAGCCTGTTGCTCCTCCATAATTGCATGGCTCAATAATGCTGACTGTTACACCAAACTGACTCATCTCTTGATACAGTATCTCTGAAAAAGCCTCTCCACCAAACTTGGCCACAGTGTAAGCAGCACAGCTGGGAATGGCCAGCAGCCCTTTGGCACTGGTTACATTCACAATCCGACCTGAGACAGCAAGTAATCAGTATTACAATAATTGACTCAGCCATATGTTTAAAAAAATGTATAGCATTCAAAATAAATACAATAAACTGTCTCCAGTATTGACTTGTTATATTTTTTTATTTGCTTTGTGTTTGCTCCTCACAAGATTTGTGTAGTATACATTCTTCTAGAACCACAATGAGTCCATCGTTTACAACAGAAATTAATATCCTTACCAGTACAGGAGAGGAGACTACACCAAGTCAATGTAGCCATTAATGGTATTATAACTTATTTAAAGACCGGATGGGGTATCTGTGATTTGCTATGTTGGCTTGCCATCCAGGAAGAAGTAAAGTGAAGGTCCCTTCTCCACGCCTTTAGACATATAAGGCATTTAGGGCTAGATCTATATTTTTTATAGACTAATCGGCACAAGATGGGTGATGTGGTCAGCATCACGCTGGCGCCTCTACTTATCAGGACTGCACGCGATATCCACTCATGGCTGGGTTGACCTGGTAGTCAAGGTCATTTATTTTAAAAGTCAGACTCCACCAGGATGCAAACCCATGACCTTCCGATCCGCATGTTAGCGCCTAGCCACTACGCCACAGTGACTCCCCATCCAGAAAGAGATCCGTACAATCTACAGGTGCTCAAACCATAAGGTAGCAGCAGAGGAGGAAATACAAAAAGAAGGAATAGAAAGTGACCAACATTGGACAGCAAGGTACACTGTAATCATGGGTTGCACATATCAAACAGTTAAACAGGGTTTCTGGAATTTGCTACTATTTTATTTAAATTCATACAGTAGCTCTTTGGGGCGCTCGGTGTCAGTCTTTTAGGCTGTAATCCGGGGGTGGGGGGTCAAAATATTTTTTTTCTAAATAGAAAGTGCAATTGGCCAGCAAGAATGTAACAACAAATGACAGAATTTTGACTTCTAAGTTACCACTTTATTTTTCTCTTCTTCTTCTTCTGCCTTCTAGCCCCCAGTGAAACACAGGTCTTCAAACAACTCACATCAAGCTATTCTATCCTTCCCTATTGCATGCAGCTTGCCGCATATCCTTCCCATCTTTTTTGACTTCACTTTCTAGCTCCCTTCTTTATGTGTTTTTTGGTGTGTCATTATTTCTATGCCCCTTTCTTTATCAGTTGTCCCATCTTTATCTGCATTACTGATCAAACAGCTGTATGACTCCACATCTTGGAATGGGATACCATTAGGAGGAACCAAATTACCATTTGCCTGATTTATTCTTATTATCTTGGTCTTTCCCTTATGGATTTTAGACCTAGTTGTTGTGATCTCACATCAAGTATATTTAATTTGTCTTGCCTCTGATTCCCTGAGTGGGAGAGGAGAGAAATATCATCAGCCGTCCATATCCTCAAGCTGTACATTTCTCTTCACTGACCCTTATTTGTGCTGCCTCCCTGCAGTTGTGTCCCCTGCAACCATTATTGCATAGACAAGGGACAAGACAAATGTAAACTGACAGAAGAAAGAACTGTTGTGTTGTATTATCTTAAAATCAGAAAAAGAAGAAATTAAAGAACTTGAACTGAGGTCTGCTACAGTATCTAACAAGATAAGATAATGCAAGAAAAAGGTAGTACAAACATAGAATATATTTTAGGCCTAACTTGAGGGGACCTACTTTTTCTGATTTATTAACTTTTAGAAAGAAAAAAAGGGGAGGGGAGGGGGTAGAGAGAAGGCAATTTGTGTTTCGGTTTACAGCTAGGCTGCGACCTAACACTCCAGTTTCAGCCAACACTTAATTAGTTACTTTTTACAACATACCTGTTGGGGCGCGGGGGTGGGCAGTGGATCTATTCCTTTTTTCCTAACAAAATGGTGCCTAGAAGCAACCCAGAGAACATGAAGGAACTGCAGTTTTTAGGAAGAATTATCCTGGATAACTCTGAGTATAAGTTGATTGATTTTAGCTACTAGAATCTATAAACTTTGTGCTACCAGTGCCAGAAATGGTCACTCACAACAAACCATAAAAGAAAATTAGTAACCACGGAAATGAGATGTCTGAGAAGGGCTGTAGGAGTGACCATAAGAGATAAGATCAGGAATGAGATCATAAGAGAAAAAGTCGGCATAGAACCAATTCTGGATTACATACGAAGACAGCAGGTGAAATGGTTTGCCCACTTAGAGAGAATGCCTTGTGACACCATACCATACAAAGCATACATGGAAAGAGAAGAAGGATGTAGAGCACAAGGCAGACCAAGAACAAGATGGAAGGATAACATCAGAGAAACTCTACAACAGCACGATGTGGTCGAGGCGGCCAGAAAAGCTAGAAACAAAACCTCATATCTCCCTACAGCGGTAAAAAAGGAAGTGAAGAAGAAGAAGTAGTTTATAAAATCTGATAGGCCAGACACAACATAAACAAACACTCAATTCATAATTATTTGATCTTCAATCCACTAATACACTTGTGCAGTTTTTCCTTCAGACTCTTTATATTCTTCTAGTCGTTTTGTTACTATATGTTTACATGTAATTTGAAGCAGTGAAATTTTGTATAACAAACGATTTGAGCCCATATAATAAATATAATAACTTTAAATACACTACAATTAAAGTGACTTCATTGATGTTTCCACAAATATGCTAATTCCAGATAGGTGTCTAAAGGTGTCAGATATATACAACTGATGAATTTTTTTTAAACTAGGCTCCACGGACAAAAGAAGTGAAAGAAATCAACAAAATACTGGCTCACTGACCCCTAGCAGAATGTGAAACCCCACAGGAAACAAGAATTATATTGACAAGCAGAAGAGTAGCCTCTGACTAAAGCTTAGGACATTATTCAACATCATAGAGAGAGTTTATTTGTGAGACTTCTTCTCCTTCTGCATTCATCCTTACAAGAGTGGCTGGTAGACTGTGCTATGGTCTACAGCCAGGTTACAATATCTGAGTCTTTTGGTCCAACACATTTAATTAAGCAAACTTTAATTAGCACCCTTTTACAACATGGTTGTAAGGAGGCAATAGGTCAAATCGCATGCCCCCAGAAATAGGGCACCAGCACCCATATGGGGAACGCAGACATCAATAATGTACAGACTGCTACTTACAAGCCAAAATCAAATAGTTTACTTGGATCCTGGATTAAATTTCAATGTTATTGAAATACTGCAACCAGTAAGTATTCTAAAATTTAAAAAAAAAAGAATTTTAATCACACAAAAATACCTTTAGCTTGCCTGATCAAGGGTAAGAATGCTTTACACATTCTCACCATCCCATAGAGATTAATGTTGCCAGTGGTCAAATACTGTTCCATCGTGGTCAGTTCCAGATCTCCCATGACATTCAGTCCAGCATTGTTAACCAGACCCCACAAACCTGGACAATGAAGGCAATATACTTCTGATTGTACACTGATGCTGCTGAGCTGTCTAGCTTGGCTGTCTAAATGCCAGGATACTGTACAATGTGTTATGGTTGTTATAGTAGGTTTTTGTGTGTTATTCTTTATCTTGTTTTGTCATCACACTGATACAGGGCAAAGCTAGTATCTTCACACTGTTATGGGTATAGCTCAGTGTCTTCACACTTTTACAGGTATTGCTCAGTGTCTTCATACTGTTATAGGTATAGCTCTGTGTCTTTAAACTGTTATAGGTATAGCTCTGTGTCTTCACACTGTCACAGGTATAGCTCTGTGTCTTCACACTGTCACAGGTATTGCTCAGTGTCTTCACACTGTTATAGGTATTGCTCTGTGTCTTCACACTGTTATAGGTATAGCTCTGTCTTCACACTGTTAAAGGTATTGCTCAGTGTCTTCACACTGTCACAGGTATTGCTCAGTGTCTTCACACTGTTATAGGTATTGCTCAGTGTCTTCACACTGTTATAGGTATTGCTCAGTGTCTTCACACTGTTATAGGTATTGCTCAGTGTCTTCAGTTATAGGTATAGCTATGTCTTCACACTGTTATAGGTATTGCTCAGTGTCTTCAGTTATAGGTATAGCTATGTCTTCACACTGTTACAGGTATTGCTCAGTGTCTTCAGTTATAGGTATAGCTATGTCTTCACACTGTTATAGGTATAGCTATGAATGCACACTGTTATAGGTATAGCTATGTCTTCACACTGTTATAGGTATAGCTATGTCTGCACACTGTTATAGGTATAGCTATGTCTTCACACTGTTATAGATATAGTTATGTCTTCACACTGTTATAGGTATAGCTATGTGTTCACACTGTTATAGGTATAGCTATGTCTTCACACTGTTATAGGTATTGCTTTGTGTCTTCACACTGTTATAGGTATTGCTCAGTGTCTTCACACTGTTGTAGGTATTGCTTTGTGTCTTCACACTGTTATAGGTATTGCTCAGTGTCTTCACACTGTTATAGGTATTGCTCAGTGTCTTCACACTGTTGTAGGTATTCCTTTGTGTCTTCACACTGTTATAGGTATTGCTCAGTGTCTTCACACTGTTATAGGTATTGCTTTGTGTCTTCACACTGTTATAGGTATAAATCAGTGTCTTCACACTGTTATAGGTATTGCTCAGTGTCTTCACACTGTTGTAGGTATTGCTTTGTGTCTTCACACTGTTGTAGGTATTGCTCAGTGTCTTAACACTGTTATAGGTATTGCTTTGTGTCTTCACACTGTTATAGGTATTGCTTTGTGTCTTCACACTGTTATAGGTATTGCTTTGGGTCTTCACACTGTTGTAGGTATTGCTCAGTGTCTTCACACTGTTGTAGGTATTGCTCTGTGTCTTCACACTGTTATAGGTATTACTCAGTGTCTTCACACTGTTATAGGTATAGATCAGTGTCTTCCCACTGATACAGGTATTGCTCAGTGTCTTCACACTGTTATAGGTATAGCTCAGTGTCTTCACACTGTTAAAGGTATAGATCAGTGTCTTCACACTGTTATAGGTATAGCTCAGTGTCTTCACACTGTTATAGGTATAGCTCAGTGTCTTCACACTGTTATAGGTATTGCTCTGTGTCTTCACACTGTTAAAGGTATTGCTTTGTGTCTTCACACTGTTATATGTATTGCTCAGTGTCTTCACACTGTTTTAGGTATAGCTCAGTATCTTGATACTGTTATAGGTATAGCTCAGTATCTTCACACGTTACTGGGTTATAGTCCAGTGATGTCACATTGCTACAAGGTATAGGCTTAGTGTCATCTCTCTGTTACAGGGTTAGAGCTTAGTGTCATAACTCTGTAACAGGGTTATAGCTTAGTGTCATAACTCTGTTACAGGGTTATAACTTAATGTCATCACTCTGTTAAAGGGTTTAGTGTCATAATTCTGTTACAGGGTTTAGTTTCATCACTCTGTTACAACGTTATAGCTTAGTATCATCAGTTTCTTAGTGTTTAGTGTCATCACTCTGTCACAGAGTGTAGCATCATTACTGTGTTACAGGGTTTAGTATCATTACTTTGTTACAGTTTTTAGTGCCATCACTCTGTTACAGGGTTTAGTCACATTTCTACTAACAGTTTAGTGTCACTACTCTGTTACAGGATTTAGTGTCATCGCTTTGTTACGGGGTTTTGTTTCATCACTGTGTAAAAGGGTCATTATTCTGTTATCGGGTATAGTTAAGTGTTGTCAATTGCCAAGTTATAGCTTAGTGACATCAGTTACTGGATTTTAGTTCAGTATGGTCATACTGTTACAAGGCTATAGCCCATTTTTGTCATGCTGTTATCAAGTGATGGCTCAATGACATGGTTCACTATTTAATAAAGGAATAGTATTGATATTTTCTGCCACTAAGATCATCAAAGAACGCAATTATCTTTAAAGTAATGCATGTTAAACCTATGCAATACTGACTATTTAATTATTACTACTACCTAATCAAAATACTAATAGGAAGGCAATGGGAGAAGACTGTAACTATAAATTTCAATCCTCACAGATCATGCAATTGAAGGGGTCAGGTGCTAGAATAAATACATTTTTTGCAAAGTTACAGTAAATGAAGACAGATGATTTGTTGTTCTCATATTCATTCCTACCCTATGCCACCATTGCCACAGACACATGTGACACTCACAACAATTCAAAAATGAAAATAAGTAGCCATGGAAATGAGATGTCTGATGAAGGCTATAAGATTAACCAGAAAGATAAAAGCATGAATTAAATCATGAAAGAAAGCGATTGCATAGAACCAATACTGAATTACATATAAAGAAAGTAAAATAAATGCTGCGCACACTTAGCGGCTATGCCATACACATACACATAAAAAGCAGAGAGATTCAGAGCTCATAGCAGACCAAGAACATGACTTAAAGAAGATGTGAAAAATTATGGCGGCATCAAGTGAATATTGTCAAGGTGACCAAAAGATCGAGAAGACACCTTATCTCCCTTAATAACTAAGGAAGTTAAAAAAAAAAAAAGGAAGGTAAAAGAAAGAAAATGATTAACAAGCTCAACTGAGGGGGGAGTGGCCGGGGCAAGGGGGGTAAAATAACAAATAATTCCAAACTAAGCAAATATAAAATATACATGAATCCAAAACAGTACATAATTTTATTTTATCATTTTATTTTTATTCATTTTTATTTTATTTATTCTTTTGGGACATCTATTACTTCCCTATCCATTTTTCTCACTCCCAGGTTCACATGTTTCAGGATTTGATTATTTCTTTTTGTCTATTTGTTACCAATATATGTTTTTCAATTATATTATCTTTCTCCAAATGTGTCATTACATATATAACTTACACACGCACACACAAAGCTTTCCTTTTCTCTCAACGTATTCACAGCCATGGTTTTTCGTTCATTCTCCTATGACAAAGTCTGACTGAAATGTTTCAATGGTAAATATATGTCAAGACATTTTTTTAAAGTTAATTGTTTACTTAGGGTGCCACACTGGCACAGCGGTTAGATGCCTGCTTTCTGACCTGAAGGCCTTATGTTCAGAACCACTCCAGGCCAATTAGGAAAACAAAATTAAACATGTGCCCAAGCTCGGCCCAGACTGAAATGGGTACCAAGAAACCAAGGCCAGCTCCGGATTTAAGACCATATAGCTGAAACAAGAATTCCCGTTTTTGTGAGGCTGGTGTGGCTAGACAGTGGTAGCAATTGTTATCCAGTAGATTTATACTTATATTGAACTACAATTTATTTAATTTGCAACATGTTTTATTGAATGAATTATTATTTTGTAGATAAATAGTCTATTAGAAAATATTCTTATTCAAAATGATAATTTATTTTTAAAAAAAAAACATGTTGCAAATTAATTAAACTGCAGATCAATTTGTGTTTAAATCTACTGGATAACAACTGTTACCACCAACTGGCCACGCCAGCCTCACAAAAATGGGAATTTTTATTTCAGCTGTATGGCCATGCAAGAAAATACTGGGAAGAAAAGATAGGAGGTGTCATGTTGAAATTGTCACCCACTGAGGGCTGATCAGTCTTTAGAAATATGATATAAAATAATCATATGCCCAATATACACCTGGCATAAAAGCAGTCTTTTACACATTTTTATTCTTTTCCTTGTCTACTCTTGCTTAGTACAGCTCACAGATTCTCTGACAGTGACTCACCTGTATTTTCACACTCCTCTTTGACCCGTCTCTGACACCTACCCACACTGTCATCATTAGTGATGTCCAGATGGACGACCTTCAGTCTGTCAGATGCCAGTTTCTGCAGAGATTTAGCACCTTCACTGTCAAGGTTTAAACAAGTGGCAAACACTGTAAACCCAACTGCATGGAGGTGTTTGGCTAAACCCAAGCCAAAACCTAAAGGTATAACAGAAATGCAATAATTGTTAGTATATCAGTGAAATCGTGTTATGAGAAGGAACAGACTTTTCTTCTTCTTCTTTGCATTTGGTTTTGTATGCTCAGATCAGACAATCAGGTGGGGTGCCTCTTTGACCTTGCATGTCGGCAGCAGGTCCTTCATGGTTCCCCATAGCTTGCTCTGCACACTTTGCTTTTGAGGTTAGGTGTCTTTTTAAAGTTGTTGATAAAGTGGGCAGGTCTGCAGAATGTGCTTAGTTGTTTGTGGTCCTGTTTGACATGCACACTGTGGGGAATGTACACACACTGTGGGGAATGTACACACACTGTGGGGAATGTACACACACTGTGGGGAATGTACACACACTGTGGGGAATGTACACACACTGTGGGGAATGTACACACACTGTGGGGAATGTACACACACTGTGGGGAATGTACACACACTGTGGGGAATGTACACACACTGTGGGGAATGTACACACACTGTGGGGAATGTACACACACTGTGGGGAATGTACACACACTGTGGGGAATGTACAATCTTTATTTTATGCATGTGGCAGTTGAGCCTGCAGTGTCCTTTTCATCAAAGGAATATTGTTGTATGTTGCTTTCTGTTGAGTCTGCTGATGGGGTCTTGTGGATGTTTACTGTTAGTTTGTTCTCTCCACAATTCCTTGTATTTTCCCTTGATAAGTGTTCTGATTTCTGGTAATGACAATGGGTGGGTGTATTGTTTCTCCATTGTTCCATTTTTTGGCAAGTCTGTCTGCTAACTTATTTCCTTGTGTGCCACAGTGAGCCGGGATCCACTGGAGAACGATTTGATTGTTTTCTGTGGAACAGACTCAAGAACTCAGTGACGACTGGCAACATTTATGAAAGAAGAGCAATGGAAAAGTTAAGAGATAAATATCTGACTTGCTCAACCATATGGATGGGGCAAGAAAAGAACACTGAAATGATCGGTGAGATGGCAAAACATGATAGCCTTCGCCTATCAGTATGACATATGATTTAGGTGACAGCTGATTTCAGAATTGCAATCCACAGCAAAAATCAGCAACCCCACAGTAAAGCTGTGGGGAAGAACTGTAGCTTTGCCTTTAATGTATCAAGCCCACCATAGTTATTTCTTTTCCTACATCATCATCATCTTCTTCTTCTCCTCCTATTCCATTTTTTTTTCTTTTTCTCCTTCTTCATTCTTCTTCTTCTTCTCCTTCTTTCTTATTCGTCTTCTTCTTCGATGCATTAGTGTGTGTGTGTTTGGTTTGCTTTGTACAATGGATCAACATCACAGCACAAGGGTAGGTACCCATAAATGCTCCGTTCTACTTCTAACTCAAGCTTGAGTCAGAAGTTTATCGGCGCAGTGCACCAACTCCAAAGCACCGACGAGAATCCTGAAATAGTTTGGGTAGATTTTAAGCTCCAAATGTTGTCCGGGCAGCGCCGTTAGGCTACTTTTTTAGATTTCCAACTATCAAGAAAATGTTTAAGTGCGCAGAGACCCAGAGACCAGGGGAAATTACTAGAAGTCCATGTGAAAAAAATCCTGAACCCGGCCAAGACCACTCAGCCTCCCCCCTCCCCACCTCAGTGTGTATGTATTTATGTATGTATATGTATGGGTTTCCTTGTGTCTGTGTATGTATGGTCATATAAAAAGGTGTGTGTACGTGTATATTCGGAGTGTGTATGACTATGTATACACGAAGTGTGTATGCATTATTTCATTACGCATATTTTTATATATCATGCATTATTTATATCATGCAGTTGTGTTCTAAAAGATTCGTTACTTACTTATGTCCTTTTTAGGACGTAATTTTTTTTTATTTGAAGCCCCACTCTGGCTTTTGCCAGGGTCCGCAATATAGGCAGGCCATAAAAATGGCCAAATGTCTGAACGCGGTTTCTGGGACCTCTCCACGGCGATCCTCATCCACATGGTGGCACGTTGTGTCATCGGGTGTTTATCGCTTGTGTGATGTCCTAGTGGGGTAGAAAGTCACTCACTCACTCTAAAAGATTTTGTGCTTGGAAGGGCCGGATGTATGACGGGCCTGCATGCCCAACTTGTAACCTTTTGAAAATAAAGTTTGTTCATTCATTCGTTCGTTCAATTCTTCTTTTATTCTTTTTCTCTTTAATCCCCCCCCCCCCCCCTCAAAGACATGTCCAAGTTGTGGTGTGGTTTACAACTAGACCATGATATCTGTGCCTTTCAGCTCAAAATATCCATTCTGCAAGCTTATAAGTTGTCTTGTTAGCTGGCAGCATAAATGTGTATATCACAGTTGCTGGATCAAATTAATTACAGTAGTTAGGAGTAACCAAACATTCAAAAAATTGTATTTCCAAACAGATGTGTCGAAAAATCATTACAATCCACTGAACGATGTCAAAAGCAATGGACAGAAATTATGGAAATCAAATTCTACGCTACGTGGCTACTGACAAAGTTTTTCAAATGGGCTGGAGTGGAGGGGAAAGTGTGTGTGTGTGTGTGTGTGTGTGCGTGTGTGCGTGCGTATGTGTGTGACACAGAGAAATGAGGGGGGGGGAGAGAGAGAGAGAGAGAGAAAGTGAGAGAGAGAGAGAGAGAGAGAGAGAGAGAGAGAGAGAGAGAGAGAGAGAGAGAGAGAGAGAGAGAGAGAGAGAGAGAGAGAGAGAGAGACCGCTTTCATGCGTGTTGACCCCAAAAAAAAATGTATTCCATTAATCCTAACTACAAAGATTCTTTCACGACACTTATCTGGCAACCAAACCGGCGAGGCGGGGTAAGTTTCAAAGACCAGACGTACGCCAGTAACCCTGTAAAGGAGATAGGCCGCTGGCGGGAACATCAAGCACAGAAACTAAATGAACTGAGTAGGCACGAACTTTTCAACTTGAGATGTTCGTAACTCAGAAGATGACAAGATACCACGAAAAATATGTCAGCTTTATCGATCAACGCCAACATATGATGTATTCAATTAACATAATGTTTCCTTTTTATATAGAACTTGCTAAAACAGAGCGGTGATTCCTACAATAAGTAAAGTCGGCTGACATTATGGCGTTAAGTGCTACCAGTGTTAATCATATAGCCTTGATACAACAATGAGCAGAAAATGAGAATAGAAATGAGATATCTTAGAAGAGTTGGTGGGCCAATAAAAAAAAAAAAAGTGATAAGGTTTAGTCAAATGATTTGATCACTGACGAGAGTCCCTGGTAGCAAATTATCATAAACGAAATATGAGCTCAGAGTATAAAATAAGGAACCCACAGCGAAGAATTAAGAAATCCCTAAGACAAACTGAGATGCATTTTATTTATTTTTCAGATGAATGAGTCATGAACTGACATCACTGCACCGCATTCTTTTCCCCTTCAATGTTGAATATTTCCAGACCCTCCACGCCCCCCCCCCCTTTTTTTTCCATTTTTTTCCCCTCCTTTCCGTTGAATTAGTCTTTCAGTGTATGGATTCCCCATCTGTTCTTTTATTTTTTACTTATTTTTGTAAACTATTAATTCTAACTAAATAAGCTTGTTCCTCTATACTTATCTCGCAGAAAAAGAGCGATGTGGTGGAAAGGCTTTATAAAAACTCTTTGAAAAAGATAGCTTCCTGGTGAGAGCAATATGAAGGATTTAAAAAAAAAACGCACATTAGGAAAGTGTCTACTTTCTTAAAGAAACAGCGATAATAAGGGCAAGTAATTAACCTAAGTTTAATGCCCATAGCATCATAATCATAAGCATCATTTTGTGAAGTTTACATATCGCATAGGGCTCGCGGTCTATTCATTCCGTTCTAAAGTGTGCAGACTTTTTGACGTCATGCATACAGTCCAATCCCGTACTCTCTCGTCAACGTTCGCCCGAAGGTTTCTTGAGAATGTTCTCGTTTCCTCGGTCCTTCTGTATCCCATTTCAGTCCCTGTGTGGAGATTCCATGCCCGTTTCTCCCAAGGATGAACTGACATGCATCATTTATTGTTTACTGGCACCCTTCCGTCTTTCCAGACGATGTTATGCCCATGGTGAAGGCGTGTGTGAATATCAAGACCCGCCCGCATTAGGAAAAGTCTTCCACAATTATGGCATGGGATTTCAGGACCATTGTTGTTAACATTTGTGTTTAGTGTGTTTCTTCTCAGACGCTCAGCTTTTCTGCAGTCATGTCTTCCTTCATTCTCATTCCCTTCCTGATGTGCCCGTTCCACACAACACAGTCTACGGCATTTTGTTCCCACGATTATGCACCATAATCTACACCATATCGCCATCTGCATGGTCATTGTTGCTCTTTGACCATGTCTGTGCTAGTAGCCATGACAGAACGTCTAGAGAGAGTAAGCTCACCACTTCACTTTCTGAAGCTTTAACTCTCTGAAACCACTGACCAGCGGTGCTCTTATTTTCTGCACACATTTCACATACAACAGAAATATTTACCAATTATCATCGCGGTTTCATTTTCCCCATCCAAAAATTCTATAGCAATCGACTCTTAACGCACATCGTCTTCACACACCATTTTAACGGATATTACACTGTTGTTTGTCGGTATGCGGTACCATTCCGTAAATGCAATAAAGATATTGACAGTGCACGTTAGGCATTCGCATGGGTGCTTAGTCTTACGATGCATTAACCATCCTCATGTACTTCTAATGACTGTTTCCGTTAGAACTTGGTCATGTTTCTGCCTTGCCATCAAAGATGGCATTAACGTGCTTGGTTTGGCTTCCCTTCCTGTTGCCATGAAGTAGAGTCTGTGTCAGAGACCTGATTCTATCCACCAGCTTAGTGTATGCAGGTGACAACAAGGTTTAAGTGTGAAGAATCTAGGGCATTAGTTGGTTGGTTGGTTGACTGGTTAATCGACATATAATCCTAACTTCACATCGGACAAGCCTAGGGCATCGGAGCTGCTTGTTCAAACCACGACCGGCTTCAGCTGAAGCCGGTCGTGGTTTGAACCAGCAGCTCCGTCAGCTGGAGTGGGTCGTGTTCAAGCCCTCGTAAAGCAGGATTCGTATAAATGACGCCAGCTTCCACGCCCACTCAGCTTAATAGGTATACACAAAGAGGTCATGGGAAGTAAAGGTGTCTAGTTGGATATTGACTACATCGGTCTTCAAATGCTTGGTAAGTCTATAGAGTATGTGTGAGTTGCATGTGGGCATGCGTGAGCTCAGGGACAAATGATCTGTTTAACATAGTGTCCCATGATACGGTAACGCAACAAATAATTCACGACAGTTCTTGTCCTGATGACCTGATTATCTATACAGATGGTTCTTTTTTGCGAGGGAAGAGAAGTGCCTGGGGTTTCGTAGCGTAAGTAAATGGAAAATCTTTAGTGCATGACAGCCTGGCATATGATACCACAACATCTAGCTTTAGAATAGAGGTGGAGGCGGTCACTGTAGCTTGTCCGTGGCTAGAGAACAAGATGAATGCACATGTTGTAATATACTCTGAAAGCATGCTGAAAAGGGTGAAGACAGGACTGCAGAATGGCAAGCTTCATTTGCAAGGTCACGGGTAGGGAGCATACTTTGGATCTTTTCTCCAAGCTATGCCGGCGTGGTGGGGAATGAACAGAGAGGCAGACTGGCTAGATCTGCAACGCTGGGTGTTGAATTGATACTTGACAAGGCAGATAGGGTCAGAGCCCTTAGGGGACAAGTAACGAAGTCAGAAGAGATTATTATAGGCTGGAGAAAATGATACACCTGGGTGTGACCACAGGGTTCCGCCGACACACTACGCTCAGAGGAAAGGCAAGACGGAATAAAACCAGACTACGACTGGCACCATTAGCATTGGAACTCTGTGCTGGCCGTTGATGATGGGGACGTAGTGCGTATGGGAATGCCCCTAGTACTCAATAGAAACATAGGTCTAGCTTCCTTTGCCTAATGCACTAATGGCTTGAAAAGTCTCTTTGACTTTCAAGGTACCCGCCTGATCTCTTCATCGGCCCATTTACATCTCTTTCCTTCAACCTGGGAAGTGAAAATTAAATGTTTTGCAATAGGTACGTGTGTAGATAGGTGAGAGCCCTCAAAATGGATATTAATTCTTGCAGGCAGAGAGACAGACGTACAGGCAGGCAGGCATACAGACAGACAAAACATGTTTGGTATATACCACAGTGATTCTGCGAAATTTGTCAGAAAGATACGTTCAGAAAAAAAAAAAAAAACTCTCAGATAACAGAATGCTGATGTGTCTTGCTGACCGACGGGATGTTAAGCCGTCTTTCACACATTCTAACCCAGCCCCGTCCCACCCCATCCATTTTGAAGTTTCTCTCTTACGTCAAACGGTTTCCTGTAATGACACCCCCCCCCCCCCTCTTTCCAGTTAATTTTGGCCAATATCGATCACAATGGCACAGCCTCTGCGACGGGAGAGCTTTTAACAGTGAATGTGTAATGAAAACACGAATGTGTTACCAAGGGAAGAGAAAGAAACATAATGGAAACAGAATGGCAGAGACAGATAAACATGGGAAGAGGGATCAGAGAAAGAGAGACAGAGGTGGGCTGGAGATTTACATAATGACATATACACAGACACAAACAGCTAGGTAGATAAACGGACAGACATACATACATAGACATATGTATATTACAGACAGACAGACAGACGAACGGACGGACGGGCGGGCGGTCAGACGGACGAAGGGACAGACAGACAGAAAGAGTACTCCTCGGTGTTAAATTTTTCTGTCCTAAAGCTGCTATTTAGCATCTGTCTCAAAACAGTTGACGAAAGTGTTAATTAACTACGATCCGACATTAAAGTTGAAGAACAAACAGCCCGCCTAGATAATCATAAAATAGAAATAATCGTTAGCATACCAACTCTCGTCGTGTGGGTTCCGGGGCTCGGTTTAAGAGCTTATAGAATCTAAAGGCTCATTATCCCTTAACAAGTATGTCATAAAAGGCAATAAAGTGCTTGCAGAAATTGGGTGTGTTTGCCTGAAAGGTGCAGATATCGCAGTTTAACGGTAAACCACAACACAACGTGCCAGCCGCTCTTTCAAGCAAAAGCAGACGACGAGGTCGCGTTACCGTATCACGGGATACTAGGTTAAACAGATCATTTGTCCCTGAGCGTATTCATGCCTACATGCAACATCTTGATATTCACGCGGACTCTGTAATGAATGGACATGTAACAGCTGTGTGATGCTCATCAATAAGGGACAAATATGCACTTTCGCCACAATGTTTATCTGTAGCTCTGTCGGTTCTTACCAACTCTCTATACGTTCCTTGATTAAGTAAAGGACCCTTTTCTGCTCCTTTAGGCGTATTGGGTGTATAGGGCTAGACCTATATTTTATAGACCAAACGGTACTTGGTGGCTGATGTGGTCAGAATCACGCCAGCTGCCTTTACTTCCCAGGACTGTGCTGGGTCGAACTGGGAGCCAAAACCAGTTTCGAAAAAAGTCTGATTTATTATATAATACATGGTAAATATTGTCAGGACTGATTTCTTAATGCATGGTAAATATTTTAGAGTGCCTCATCAAACATTCTTCCATTACATTATTCCATTCAACCTCAAATATAACTGCAAATCTTGTTGTTTTATAAATTATATTTTAATCCATTAAAACTTGAGACATACTGTGAGACGGAAAGTATCGTAAAACAGTAGCCCGAGACTGAAAAAGTCCATTTAAAAAAAAAAATATATATATATCCCCATGGGCTGGCTGCAGCATTTAACGAAATGAAGAATATTCTGTGTAATCAAGCTTGGTCAGTTGAGGTGAGAAAGAGACTTCTCTAGAACTATTTACTCGTAGTTCCAATCATGAAATATTGAAGGAATCATAGACAGAGTTGAACAATTATGCGGAAGCGGCAGAGATTGGATTACAGAAGAATGATGTGAACACCAACAACAAATTGGAAACGTAATAACGATGCCTTGAAAATACCTCACAAAGAAAACTTTACCCATATCAGAAGGAGAAAAATCTAAAATTTTGTTGATTTTGTCTTGGCAGGCAAAGTAAATAATTTATTCTAAACATTCTCCTCAGCTTCCAAGCAGCAGGTACATAGGTGCAAGACTTTAGTCAAGCTAAAGTACAAACTGACATTGCAGTGTTCCAGACACTCCCATAGACAGTCTTCCTCATCTTCAGCAGTCACCGAAGGTGTTCCAATTATGATGGTGCCAGTAGCAGACTGATAATATGTCCTTCTTGTCTTTCCTTTGAGTATAGAGTATCTAGCAGATATCTGGTTACTCCTAGCTGCACTATTCTTCTTGGACATTATTAATCTGGTCGTACCTCCATATTGTTAACTTGATTCTTAACAGCCCTGACCATATTTTACTTTACCATACTGATCAGCTGCTCTTCTCTCCCAGTTTGTTTCTGCTGGTACCATCCAAGACTTTTCTCTTATCAACCTGAGGCTTTTAGCTTCATACAGGGTTTCATGAATAAGTTGGTTTTTGTTCCAGCCCACCTTGAGTTATGACCTAGCTTTTAGCACTCTGATCCTGTCTGTAATAGTTGGCAACCAAATATATATTGCATACAGACTACTGGACATCTCTTGCACATCCTAGAATCAGCCGCATAGCTTCATTCTGTATGTGTTTGAGCTTCAACACAGCTTGGGAACCAATGTAACCAGATAAAGGAAAACCTTACGGGAGTACAGGGCAGCTGTTGTGCAGTTAACCAGCCAGGAACAGACCCTCTTCATCAACAACATGGAGAGCTGTGAATCTTTTGTTAGCTTGTAGCAAAGTTCAAAAGTGGGCTTTATCACAGTGGCATGGCACATGATGATGACATATTTCACTGTCATAGCTTTAATAATCTGTCAGTGATAAAACAGTTAGTTGCATCTCTCCAACTAATTAAATGACTGACTGGCTGTCTTTCCCCTTCTGGTTGGTTTCACAACCCTGTGACTTAGGAAATGCATCTTAGACACTGATCCTACTAGTCAAATCCCAGATACCTTGTTCAGCTTGATAAAAAGTTTTAATTAGGATGTCCGCAGTGGCAGCAGCAAGCATTACCAGTGTACCTGCTATCCCGGGAAGGTGAAGAAAAGTTTTTGCTCCACTTGGTAAATGTCCTTGTTCTATTCAATTGAGTCACATAAGTTCTTCAATATTTCTGTTGCACACTTTTATATATAACTTGACACTGATGTAGAATTTGTGTGCAGAAGTAGGGAAATGCAAAATGCTGTTTGGAGAATGAGAAAAATAAACAAAAATTTAGTGGGGGGGGGGGGGGGGGGTGGGGGGGGGGGGGGAGAAGGGAAAAAATGTTTACCTGAGTCACAGCCAGTCACTACAACTGCCTTTCCCAAGGGGTCAATGAGTCCCAGACGTCTGGTCTTGTACCACATGTACAGTTTTCTCACCAGGAAACAGATTCCCAAGAATACTGAAAACATAAAAATGAAATAACAAATAACTAGGAATATTCAAACAGTATAATGTTAAGACAATTTATTAGAACAATTTAATAAAGGTTGATAACTTATGTTTCAAAAACAATTTATTATGTGTTATTCTGTGTGTTTACATGGTTTTGCCTTGTGTCAACTGATTATGTTATTTGCAAAGCACTGTGATGTATACATATAAAGTGACATCATAAAATTAGCTGTCTCAAATATATTCTTCCGTAAATTTTATATACTTTAAAGTTATAAATGCACTTAATATTTAACGAAAATGAACATTGATTTCTTTAATTACAATAATCAGATGTAAACACACCAACCAGCAAATTATCAAAATATAATAGACAATAACTAAAAACTAATAAAAATGTTAATAGATAAAGGGAAGTCATCAAAAACATTTTTTTTATTAAACTGAGTCATCAAAATGTCATGCAGGAAAAGCATCAAATTGTAACTGGATGGTAACTGGATGAACAGAAAGACATCAAAATGCTAAGAGATGAAGGGAAGTCATTGAAATGTTAAGAGATAAGGGAAAGTCACCAAAATGAAAACACAAAAAGGAATGATTTTCAGTGCTCACATGATACTCATGTAGTAAAATGTTCATCAAAGTAGAAAAGACAGAAACATGTGGAAAGCAATAATATTGGCAACAAAAACTTCATCAGAATATCAGATAACTAAGGACAAGAGAGTCATAATCAATTATGTCTGCTCAAATAAGGCATCTAAAGATAGATACACTGAGATACCACCCCCCCCCGAAACCACCCCCCCCCCCCCCCCCCCCCCCCCCCCCTGGCTATAATGGCTGAACGTTGTTTCTGGAACCTCTCCACGGGTGATCCTCATCCGCATGGTGGCACATTGTATCAACAGATGTTTATCGCTTATGGGATGTCCCAGTAGGGTAAAATAAGATAGATAGATTGAAAAAACCTCCAGCATATTGACTGGACGTCCCCATGTGGGATGCAATTTTTTTTTATTTGAAGCCCCTCCCTGGCTTTTGCCGGGGGGCCCTGAATATAGCCAGGCCATAAATATGGCCTGACAGCTAAAAGGGGTTTCTGGGACTTATCCATGGTGATCCTTATCCGCATAGTGGCACTTTGTGTTGCCGTGCATTTGTTGCTTGTGTGATGTCCTGGTAGGGTACAACAAGAGAGAAAGAGAGAGAAAAAACCTCCAGCACAAAAAAGATAAGCTTGTTCCACCCTTAAAGCCAATTTGACAAGGAACAGTCCAGCCATTGAGAACTAGAGATTTTGTTCCTGGGTTTATTATTGCATTACATCAGTTTCTAAAGAAATGTTTACAAATTATTTCTTTGCATTCACTGGCAGTCAACTCAGCTGGAAAGTTCTGGTTGTTCATCCATGTCAGGATTTTAGTCTCATTCTAGAGCCAGCCTAAGTGTTTTACATGCACATACATTTTATACATCTGACTTATTTGTATGCAGACTGTTGGTTCCTTGCCTTTTTGGCAGATTACTTCAACTTCAAAAGACCCAGTTACTTGATCCTGATGGGAAAGAGGGGGGGGGGGGAAGTGAGTCTAATCATGTTACTGCAGCTACTACTAGTCCCACTGTTACTGCAGCTATTACTAGTACTACTGTTACTGCAGCTATTACTAGTACTACTGTTAATGTAGCTATTACTAGTACTACTGTTACTGCAGCTATTACTAGTACTACTGTTAATGTAGCTATTACTAGTACCACTGTTACTGCAGATAGTACCACTGCTACTGCAGTTATTACTAATACTACTGCTATTGTAGCTATTACTAGTACCACTGTTACTGCAGCTATTACTAGTCTCACTGTTACTGCAGCTATTACTAGTCCCACTGTTACTGCAGCTATTACTAGTCCCACTGTTACTGCAGCTATTACTAGTCCCACTGTTACTGCAGCTATTACTAGTCCCACTGTTACTGCAGCTATTACTAGTCCCACTGTTACTGCAGCTATTACTAGTACCACTGTTAATGTAGCTATTACTAGTACCACTGTTACTGCAGATAGTACCACTGCTACTGCAGTTATTACTAATACTACTGCTATTGCAGCTATTACTAGTCCCAATGTTACTGCAGCTATTACTAGTACTACTGTTACTGCAGCTATTACTAGTACCACTGTTACTGCAGCTATTACTAGTACTACTGCTATTGCAGATATTACTAGTACCACTGTTACTGCAGCTATTACTAGTACCACTACTACTGCTGTTATTCACACTGCTTTTGCTGCTACTACAACTAAAACAACAGCGTCTACTTCTTAATGCTATTACATTATACTACTAAATTATACTACTGCTGCTGCTGCTACTACTACTTGTTCTACTACTACTACTACTATTACTACTACTTAGTAGTAAGGCATGCATAAAACAACTGTAGTAACTGCCCACACTTTCAAATGCAAAAGAAAAATTCATTTGGGGGGGGGGGGGGGGTATTTATTATTTATTTTAAAGACACAGACCCGATTTACATCCTGAACATGGCAAAAAGAAAGCTGACTGCATGCTAACGCCACTTATGCAGAAACAGTCATGTGTGAAAGCTACAGATTACCAGTATTATGATGCTAGCTGTGCACACATACTCTTAACAATCAAACGATTAGGAGGAAAATTATATGTGTTATTGCTACCTGCTAACACTCAGAACATGCTAGCTGATCACACCTCTTCACTGCTGCTACTAAATACTACTACTACCTGCTGCTGCTGCTATTACTACTACAAACATCAGTATCACATCTACATCCACTGCTGCTACCATTTATATCATTACAGATGCTATTCCTACTACCCAACTTTCTGCTATTATCACCAACTGTTTCTGCAAAATATCTCCAGCACTATTAAAACCATATTTAGCACAAATGTATAAACAGATCTAACATCTTACCAAAGACATGTCCAAAGAAAAATACAAGTATGCATAAAGTCACAGTCCAGCCAACAGCTTCAATCTTCTTGAAGGTAGGAATATCCAGCTCCATGTTGTGTGTAGCCTACATGTGTTGATCACATCAATGTTCTGTAAAATATAGTCAAGTTGCAATACAACAATCAATTCATCCGCAGGTTTAATATTTAGTTCTTTTACTGCCAGCCTTGTGTTTCTTCACAATTGTCTATCATGTCTTCTTCTTCTTAGTGTTTATCATCATTAATCATTATGTCTTTTACAGAACATATCTCTCCTCGCGATGCGCCTAAAAGCATCCCTTTCTCTAGCCAGCTCCCTAGCCCCATGTGCTTTCAATGTCCTGTATCCATCTCCATGGAGGTCGACCCCTGCCTCATTTTCTACACACCCTCCATCACAGTTTTTTCCAAGCCACCATGACGTTTAATGTGGACTAAATACTTCAACTTTCAGGACAGGGTGCTGTTTATGAGCCAGTTCTCCTTAATGTTTATATTCTTCTTCTTCTTGTGTTCGCTTTCTGATTTACACCGACAGACAGGTTCTTGTGATAAACTTGACTGTTTTTTTTGAGTTCATTTTTAGTCCCATACAAGTTTGTGTGCATTGGTGACTCACTGGGCCAGTATTCCTTTCTTAATGGGCTGAACAAGGGACAGTCTTGCAGGACATGTTCTGTAGTCTGCACACATAGCCCACAAGGGCAAAAAGGTGAACTACTTAGACGAAGCCTGTGCATATGCTGGTTAAGTTTGTTATGTTTATATTATGTAGAATGTCGATGTTTTTTCTCTTCTTGATCCATGGTATTCTGATAATTCTTCTGTAACATTTTCATTCAAAAGCTCCAATCTTTTAGTGTTCACCAGTTGTAAATTCCAGAATAAAGTTCTAGATGCTCATCCATATCTTTAGTCTTGTTCCAGAATCTGAGTTTTGCATACACATGTTTCACAGATCTGGTTTGTTTGTTTGCAGATTGAGGCACTCTGACTTAGATGGAAACAACCCTAATTAGTCACCTAGTCGACATGCTTTTCTAACGGGGCAATGGGTCTATCCTTTTTTTCCTTCAAAATAGGGCCCTGGATCTCACATAGATATATGTTGTGCTTTCAGTGCCAGGCAAGTGTGTCTCAACTTTTTTCTATCATGACTCTTTCAGGGAACTCACAATACAATAAATGTTTAATTAAAAATCAACATCACATCCCTCAGGACATTCCCGTAAGTGCCCCATCTCCATCTTCATCAGCAAGCATAGAGTTCCAATTCTAATGGTACCAGTAACAGTCTCATCTTTTCCTTAAGTGTTGAGCGTCGGTCAGATCCCCTTGTCACTCCTTGCAGTACCATTCTCCTTAGACCGTGTTGATCTATTTGTGCCTTCACACTGCTGACTCTCTCTCAAAGAACCCTTACAATATCTAGCTTGGCATGCATCGATTCACCAGCAAGTAGTGCAGAACTAGCTAATCTATCTGCCTGTTTGTTTCCGAAGACACTTGTATGACCTGGAGAAAATATCAAAGGGACACTAATTACCAGACTTCTGAAGCAATGCTGGCCACCCTGCTTGGAGCATACTTGTCGCCACCTTTCTCAACATGCTCTGGTTCTTAAGCCAGCAGAAGCTGCAGTGACTGCCTCCACATCCATTCTCAAACTATATGATGCAGAAAGCAATGTTCAACAATATGTTTATTAGTTTTTTTTTGTTTATTTTTATTGTGAACATTACTTTTTTCTGGCCTTTTGTTATGTTGTGTGAACCCCTTACCCTTATGTTTCAACTGTTAATACAATAACTTCTGTCCCCAAAGCTTGATGAGACAAAATTATTGCTTTATGAAACAAAATCTTTAGCATAGACATAGTTAAGTGAAAATCTGATAAGACTTATTGCTAAAATAAAAACAATGGTCTGGTTCTAAAATGGCTCAAGTAAAACAATAATGGAATAAAAAAAAGAAACAAAGTAATGGTAGAATGATTTACTATTACAGTAGAAGAGGCACAAAAAGTATATGAAAACAAAACAAGTATGAAGGCCCTAATAATTGCATGACGAATTGCTTGGTGCTGAATGACTCTTGATCTTTTCTGTTCTAAGAATTGTCATGTCTGATTGGATATTCTTTGTGTGAATCAATCAGTGTGTCATTAGTGATTAGCTAGCTATACTTCATGTTTGTTGATCTATGTTATCAGTTGTCACCAGCTTTTCTTTATGTGCACTTTCTGATGGGTCATGTATGATTGGCCGTTCTTTATATATAACAATTAAAATGTTATTTGTGATTGGCTATTCTTTTTGTGAAACAATAAAAGTGTCATTAGTGGCTGGCTATTCTTTATGTGCAACAATCAATGTCTTTGTTATTGGCTATTCTTTATGTGCAAAAATCAATTATCATTTGTGACTAGATACTTTAGGTGTCATTAGTGATTTCTATTCTTTATGTGCAGTAATCAGTGTATCTTTTTTGATTGACTATTCTTATGTGCAACAATCAATATGAAATTTGTGATTGGTTACTTTCTTTGTGTGCAACAATCAATGTATCATTTGTGATTTACTATTCTTGATGTGTAATAATCAAAATGTATCATGTATGGTTGGCTGTTCTTCATATTTACCAGTCAATATATAACACATCCTTTTTAGTTTTACTGATAGAACACTAAATACTCTGAAAATATATTAATTGTTTTTAAAGATATTCTTATTTGACTCATAGGAAAATCTCCTTCCTCAGCATTTACTTTTAAAAGTGCAGTTGACAGGTTGTGTTGTGGTTTACAGCTAGAGTATGATATAAGTGCCTTTCAGCTCACCACATCGAATTCTACCAAACTCCTTACTAGCTGCCTTTTACAGCATGCTTTTTGGAAGAAAAAAGCGGGGGGGGGGGGGGGGGGGGGGGGGGGGGGAGACATCCTGGACCTAGTCTTTGTATGTGCTACATAGATACTGGTATTCATAGCCTCGGGTATTCCATCTTTCCATCACTTGTGTAGTCAACCACTAGGTCTACTTTCATTAACTCTAATTGACAGGGCTCTTTGTAATGCACAATCTGCTGGTAATCGTGACACATGGGAGCTGCGTGGTCTCAAGGCATGGTGTCTGCCTCGAGTGCTAGAGGTTCCAGGTTCAATACCAAGTAAGGACTTCTAGTAATTCCCTCTGGTCTCTGGGTAGTGAGATCGGACGGTCGTGTGCATTGTTGCACACGTAAAAAATCCCTTGGCAGTTGGAAATCCAAAAGAGTAGCCTAACGGCTACATAAAGTATTTCAGGATTCTCGCCAGTGCTGAGAGCCTGTGCACTGTGCTGAGCGTCTTCAGACTCAGACTTGAGCTAGAAGAAGAATTGAGCACTTATGTGCCATGATATTGATATGTTGTTCAAACCTCAAATCATAACACAAGTCCAGACTATTTGATCTGTTGTCAGCTGGTGTATTAAGTACTAGTTCCGTCCCAACTTCTTTCCTGATGTCGTCATTTCTGATCATGTCCCTTTTACATTTAGGATTCGTTGTAAGGCATGTTGTTGTGCAAATCTTCTTTTTATCTTTTGTTGTTAGTGTCCACATTTAGCACTCGTAATGTTTCCCTGTGTGGGTTCTGTGGACCCATTGTGGTTAAAAACAAGAACAAACCCATGTCCTTTCCAGCAAGCATGTCGTAAGAGTCCACTAACTGGGAGACTTCTTTTGAAGTCAGAGGGCATCTGCCCGCGCAGCAAGGAGCAACCAGCTGCACACTAATAAGCCAGTAAAACGGATGTACACCAATACTCAGGCCCTGGCATAAAGTCAAGGTCCTAATGGACCAAAAACCTGGACCTTCCATCGAAGCTTACAGCCGGTGAACAAATAAGAAGAAAAAGATCACTGACAATACAATTATATTGTTTAGAATAGTGCTCTTTTGCTGTCAATTAATACTGAAGCTTGCTTAATTAATTAGATTATTTTCCTTTTAACTGTATCTTTCCTCAAGTGAATGAAGACTAAGCAAGTTATATTCTGGTCCACCTAAGTTAGTATAAAGGAGATTCTTTTAATATCTTAAGTTAAATGTGTAAGTGAGATTACATTTAATCAGCAGCACTGTAATCTTCTTCTTTTCACCAAACACAGGAAGAGAGAAAACAAAGATAACAATTAACACAGTATCAAGACCTCTTTAAAAATACTTGTATAACAGCAGTTTTTCGCTTACAAAATATTACTACTACTGCTCCCACTACCAGTTCTGCTATTATCACTACTGAAGCCCTCCCTTATCAGAGAGACAGTACACAAAGCTAGCACAAAACACGATTTGTAATGCGTCTCTAAAAATGTTTTTCTATAGTACCTTATGTTATTAATTAGGTTCTCGCTTTACAACGAAATACTTTACCACCGCAAAGGAACATACTGAAAAACTTCACTTCATATATTTCCTTATCCGCAATCAATACTGAATATGTATTTGCTACCACCGACTTAACTGCAGTTTTGACACAAACCAGTGTCTCTCACTTTCCGGAGACCAGAGCCAGTCAAGAAGTATTTGTTTCTCACCCAGCCTGTTGAGGTAATGATTACGCCAGCTAGTTTTGTTGTTAGCCACGTGAAATTCGTTCCCTTGGTAAACTAGGGCAACGCACAACTCGGACGTCTTTTTTTTTTTTCCTTACAGGGAAATTCAACTTGTGACCTACTAACAGTTAAGATGAGTAGAAATGTTTTATGAACCGATATCGCCGCCTCCTCATAAGCGCTCAGTACTCATCTTCGGCAGCCGGCGCAGAGTTCCTCCAGTATTGTTGGTGCTAGAAGCATTCTGATTATAGGCCTAAGTCCGCCTTGTTTTTATCTATGAGCGTCCCCTGATCTACTTGGAAGTCATGTTTAAGATTATAGATTAGACATCTAGTTTCACTGGATAACACACTTTTAAACCTTCTTCATAAAATGCTCTGGTACCTTATGTTATTAATTAGGTTACTCACTTCAAAATGAAATACGCCAGGACAGCAAATAAATATCCTGAAAACAACACTTCACATAT